ACGGAGAGGGACATTGCTTCCAGGGTGGGAACGGATCTGGATACAAAATCCATGGACCCAGAAGTGGGAGAGATTGAGAGTGCCTAGAGAAGAGGCAAATCATAGGAGAAGGCCAGTGATCCCCTGCCAACCAACTTATTGGGGGAAGCCGAAGCTAGAGAGTGTGAAAGAAGATAAGGGAAGAGAGAAGGTAGAGGAGGATAGGCGTGAGAGGAGTGAGTGGCAGGTTCAGGAGATGAGGAAGATGGAGGAGTGGAGAAGGTCTGGGAAACCTTGGAACCAGTAGACGCTGGTTCCAAGTAGACACTATCTAGGGGGTCGGGGTATAAATCGAATGAATGAATGAATTAATAAATAAAATTTCCTTGGTGACATGGCCGTGACCCTGTTGCCTGTACAGATGGGTACTGTGTTAAAGGCATGGACACCTCCAGAACTTCCAGGACCCTGGAATTCCAGTTATGGCAATCCCTTTGTTGTAGAAGAATGGAAGCCCCTTTCCGCCCCATTGGAGGAAGGAGACAGACTTTGTCAGTTCAGGATAATGGTTTATTTGTTAATGCAAAAATAAATGTTCTGCAGTTATCTATGCAAACATTGCCTAGTGAAGTTATTGGTGAAAGGGAAGAACTCCAGCCTCAAAGTACCGCACCCTCACAACCTGTTAGGGTTAGCATACCTCTCTGTTCCTTGTATTGAAAGATGTCAATTTGGTATTCTTCCTTCCAGCTTTCAGGAAAATTCTTTGAATTGAATTGGGAACATTGCTGGGAAGGAAGGGAGGTAATTTTCACTGACTGCCCTTCTTACCTCCTCTTCCCACGGGCCACTTCTCCTAATGGTTTAAAGTCCTGCAAACCTCTAGAGCTCTTACAGGGCTAAAAGTTTAAGGAAGACACATTTTTGAGAGCATATGGAGACTGAAACTCACTATTTGGAACACACATACAGATAAAGAAAATCTGTTTTTGGAAATGTTTCCACAATGACTGGTTGGAGTACATAAGGAATGTAGATGCAAGCTGCTAAGCAACTATGCAAACAAATGATAACGGTTGATGATAAGATACATCAAAGATTTATCTCAAACAGTACTTAGTGACAGAATGGGATAATTTGTTTGAAGTCTTACTTGGTGAGACTGTTACTCTTTAAAAAAAATGAAAATATGAATACACCTCTCTTGAATTGCACAGGTCAGAGCAGAACGGTTTTGGTCATACATGGATTTTTTCTAATCAATAAATATTTCAATAAATAAAAAAGAACTATTCAATAAAAATATTTAATAAATACTGTGGCCCTGGCCACCTCGAATCCCATGAGTTCAACACTGAAGTGGTCTACTTGCCCCCAAATGTAACATCTGAATTTCTGACTGTAGATTAGGTCATGAAGATCTTTAAGACTCATCACACATGGTACTGCATGGAAAGGATTGTCGACACTATGGAAGAGAATCCCGACAGAACTGTTATGTATGTGTTTGCATTTCTTCATAAATTGTTTATGCTTTGTAGTTATGTTTGGGGGGGAGCATAAGGCTTATACATGAACAACTATGGACACAAAATGAACCATGAAAGACAGAAACCCACAAATTGGGCCTTTTTGTGGTTTGTTTTGAGGACCATCAGGGAAACACGCCTGCCCAGAATAAAACAAAACACTGGTGATTCCATGCTTCATTTGGGGGTGCCTAGATAGTCTGGCGCCACTCAGTCAATTCCCTAGGCAACACTGGGGTGGACCTAGAGAAAACTTTGTGTGGCATTATCAGGCCAGGCCATGAAGCTCAAGCCTGCTCACTGGGAATAGCTTGTTATAGTAGTTACAGTTGGCATGAGGACACTTAGCTAGCCAGTCCATTTGTTCTCACCCCTTTCTGTTCCCTCCCCAGGACACCTCATGATGAGCAAACACCATGTCTCAAGTTCCCTTCCATTACCTATTCATTTAATTTTCCCCAAGCCAGCTGCAAAAAGGCACTTTCTGAGAGAGAGGCTTCTTTGGGCGATGGTGGGGGCTATAGTGATTTGAATTTCCCAAAGTCAATCTTCACCAAACTTTGAGAGGAGAATGAGAGTCACCTGAAGACTTGCTGAGAGTCTGACATCTCTAACTCATGCAAGGGCCATTTTACCACTCCCAGAAATCCCAAATTGCACAAACCATGAAATGATTCGTTTTTTCAGAAAGTTCATGATTCGTAAATAGGAATGAACCACGAACCATCACAAATCGCCATTTTCCCAGTTCATGTCCATCACTATACACCAATTTTGAACTACAACAGGGTCTGGCACCCCTAACCCCAGCATTGTTGAAGGGAGAGGTATATTAAGTTTTGTTGGGTAACTTTAGAGGGGATTTCTCCTCTTTCTTTGGAGTTTCAAAGGATAACACTTACTGTTTCTAAGAAAATTCTGTGGCTCAATTTCCCCTGCAAAGCACTTTCTGATACTGAATCTAGTTTTACAGATGGCCTTTACTGGCCATGTACATCTCATTAATGCATAGCAAGCTATTGGAGGCTAGCTTCAGACCTTTTGAACAGGGAAATTTCAGCTCAAATCTGGCTTTATCTGGAAACCCACTAGTGACTTAGATAGGGCATCCTTTCAGCTTCAGCTGCTGTCATATACATAGCACTGGCACGAACAGAAGTTATCCTAGAGAGCATCTTTTGCTTGTTCCAACATTTCCACTTACAGTCCTTTGCCAAAAACTAACCTGACTATCAAAAACTAACTGTTCTCACAGTTGCCATGCCATGAGCTGAAACTTGAAACTTTCCCCAATAATTTGTATGTGCTGACTTCATGGTCAAACGAGTAGGGCCTCTGAGAGACATTGTAAGATGTCCACGCTTTGTGTTAGTGTAATTCACAGACATGAACCAGATGCAAGAAACACTTTACTTGTGTCTGGTTCATGTCTCATAGTTTAGGAAAGAACAACCTAATCCCATGCAAGTTTACTAAAAAATCTGTTCCATTATGTTCTGTCAGTCTTGCTTGGCTTCAAAATTTCTCGCAGAATACATAGTTCTACAGCAGGGGTTCCCACCCTGGAGGTCACAAAGTGTTTTCTGAAGGGATCACCAGGCTTAAACAAACCATGCCTGTGATTAAGCTAATGGGTTACTAGTTGCTTTGTTTTCTCAACAAGAGTTAAAGGCACTAAGTTGGATTCCTAGAGCAGGAAGAGGGGAAGAAGGATGGGGTGTGCAGTCAAACCATCCCTTCTTTTTTTCCTTCCTCTGGAGAAACAAATTGGGTTCTTTTCCCCCTAAATGCTTCTTCTCCCTTCCAAGATCTAGGGATTACATCCCATTTTGTCTGGGGGTGATGCTGGTGGATCTGTCCCTGCTAGGCTGGGGAGGAGGCTAGGAAAAGCTGGGGAGTGGGGGAGGAAGCAGAGTGGGAACAGGCAGAACCCAAACTGCAAACCCAGCTAAGCCAGAGGGGTGAGGAACCCCTCCCACCAGGCTGCAGATACTCTGTTGTTGTGTGCTGTCCAATTGCTGCTGCTTTGAATTAATACACCCCCAACCCCCAAAGCCTCACTCCTATAGTCATAGCCACTGCCACAGTCTTGTAAAATAAAGGCAGCAGTTTCTCTGTTGAGTCAATCTATCTTAAATTCTGTTTTCCTCTTTTCCTAGCATTTTCCCCCTGGGAAGTTTGTCCTCAAGTGATAATTTACCCAATTAAAAGTGTCTGTTTATGCAAATATGAGGGGAGCTGAGGTTACCTGGCTATTATAAAAGAGGTAATGACCCATGAAAGGTTGGGGGACACTGTTACAGTATAGTATCCTTGATTTTAGTTGCTCTTTCTTATGTACATGAATTATTTAAAACCTTCCATCTCCAGCGTCCCCTTCTCCTAACTTGAGATTGTTTCGATTCCCCCTTTGAAGTGGTTAACGTAAAATGAGCTTGAATATATATTCAAGCTCATTTTACGTTAACCACTTCAAAGGGAGATTTAAAACATTTCTCAAGCGTTTTTTTTATTTTTCTTTCCTGCTTTTGCTATTTATCTCCTCGTGGAGGTTACAGCTAATAAACAAACTAAGAAAACGCCCAAGTGTAGTTACTAAGCCCTAATTCCGAGTTTAATAAACGCAAGGCATCTGGAAGACTATTCTTGAGAAGGATGGTCGGTCTTTTAAACCAGACAACCAGGAGGCTGCAGAAGGCTCCTTCTCGCAACCGGAGAAAGACCGGCAGAACCACAGCCAAAACAGCCCTCAAACGAGCCCCTTCTCTCTTTCCTACGCGCTTCTCCTGCCGTCCACCCAGCCCGGGCCAAGGCGAAAACCTTCGCAAGATGGCGGCGGCGGCGGCGGTGGTGAGAAGGGGGCGCAGAAAATGCTTGTCAGCAGCGTCTCCCTCTCCTCCTGGAACCTCCACGCTTCACAGGACAGCGAGCTAGCGTCGCTAGAAGGGGCTGGCAAAGCCGTGGGAGTCGCTCTGCCAGGAGGTGCAGCACCGTTTCTATGATCAGAGCCCTCGAACCCGGAGAGAGACGTGAACTGCGCCTGGCTGGCAGGCAGGCAGGCAGGAGCGTGAGAGGATTAGGGAGGCCTTGCGAGGGAAAGG